TATATATATTCATTTTTTACGATTTTTACTCTAATATCTTCTTAATAATTCTTTTCGTTCAATTAAGTCTTTATCTCTACATTCTATATATTCGTTGGAAAGGCTGATGGTTTCGAATGAATGAGACCATTTATTTATTGGTTGGGTAGACCCATAGGTAATACATGACTGTAGACTGTATAAACAGATAATCTGAGAATAAGAAATATAGGCAGTCTGTGTTGGTTTCGCCCCGTGAGCGAACGAAGTGTGTGTATCGAGAATGATACAGAAATATAATTAAAAATAGCATGCATTCGCCCCTGGTGCACTGTTGCCCGGCCAAAATAGCCGTGGTTCCTTCGAGTGGGGTTACTCGCAATTAGGGGTGTTGCGGGCTACTCGAATGACATGATTCTGGTGGCGAGGGTAGCTTCATGTAAGTGCCCCACACCCGGTCATTGAGATGCTAGTCCCTAAAGGAGGCTGGGCGTGTAGGGAAGCCTTACTTATTTTAGGGTGACTCTAGCTAGTTGTCGAAGAATAGAAATACGTATAAACAAAACTGGTAATATATTGGATACTTGTACAATATTATGGTCCAACTTAGCTAGGGGGGAAGGCAACCCCCGGTGAGTACATTAATGTTTATTTATTGGTTGTCAGTAACTGTTAGTTTATTTTGGGTCTACCGGAGTATCTGTTTGACCATCCTAAATGCAGTCAGGATCTGTTGGGGAAAAGAATCCATGTTATTAGGTGAGACGAATTACACCTGATCACTACTATTTATTGTTTTCTTATGTATTATGTATTTAACAACGCCCTGTAAAAATTATCTAGTTAACACTTGTAACATAGAAATGATCTAAAACGGCGGATAGAGGTAGCATTGACAGACAATGACAAAAAAGAAAAACATGTTGACAAGACACGTTCTGAAACATGAAGTACTAGTTATAGATTGATATGTTAGAAGCAGAAACAGGAATAATAAGTAGCAGTAGAGGAAGGCCCATAGCAGATTACTGTTCTTAAACAGTTAGAGATTGTAGGATGTTCTAATTTTGCGTCCTTTATCAGTCTCCAGACTAACGACATTGTCACAAACTTCCTAATTGCTGAATTGATTAAATTTACATTATGCACATTTAATAGTTAAATTCGGTAATAGAACATCTACCTATGTTTGCTGCTCTCCGTTTAAATGCAAGTTTGTCCGGAAGTGTGTCCAGGTTTTTCGTCTGGTGCGATCAATCTTCATGAAATATAACTGACCTTCTGTCGTCATAACTCTGCATAGATCCGGAATTTATTGCAGGACGAGGTTGAAGTTGGAGCAATAATAGCCGGCATGTCCGCTTTTACGGATTAACCTTGATGTTTTCAAACGGATTACACCGTCTCGTTTCTCATCATACGTCGACAGTTTTAAACGTTTTCATATTTTGAGCGCAGCAACCGTATTTTTAAGGGCGTTTTTATTGACGCAAATTTCATTTTTACTGCCTAAAAAACATTAGTTTCATACTTCTCAGAACTTTCCGCAATCATTTCGCGAAATACTCTCTGCATTCTCAACAAAAGAAACAAAAACATTTGAAACAATTGCTATAAGGAAAATCAATTAATGAATTTGAAGTTTTGTTGTCGTAGTATCTTGTAGTCTATTGGGATCCGTCAAATGGGAGGAGCCTAAAAACATGGCGCCGATTAGGGAAAATTTATCGTAGTTCCTATAGTGTACCGTGCAATTTCCAAGTTTTTAAATTACCATAAAATGATAAGTATTGACACAATATGTGATTGGGCTGACACAAAGCCTCGGAAAGGAATTTTCGTTGAAGGTGAGCGTGTTTTTAATGCCAATCACATTATAAAATTCGGAAATAACAAATCCGGAAGCTAGCCTTCAAATTCCGTCAAGTTTACTGCCTACTTTTTACAAACTTCGGATTTAAAAAGTGATTCACGTTATATAATAGGTGAGGTGATTCTGGGTGATTTAAGCAATATCATATCAATGACTTGCACCTGCAAAGTCGATTTAAGAGAACGTTGCAAACACATTATTGCAACTTTGTTGTATTGCAGCAGGTAGGTTCTTAACCTCAAAATACTTATATCGTATCATCAGAATTGTGTTAAATCAGTTACTTACACAGGAATAAATAATTTCTCACTTTATAATTTTTGTATAATTCTAGTTTTAAATATTAAGGTTATGGCTGATGG